GAATATAGATAAAATTTTGATTTCTTTGAACTTTCAAAAGTTTCTCGTAAAATTTCCGAATATATAACTCCAATGCTTCTTAGAAAACTAAATATACAGGGTGTCCCATAGCATCAGGGAACCGCTTCGGCGAGGTTCATATAAATACACCCAACTAGAAATTTCAGTTAGGCAGACATTAGGTCCGCATTAGGCTAGCCTAATTTTCCTGTTAGGCCCCAATGGGACAGCCCCATCAGGCCCGCCTGCGGTATGTAACGCGGAATATTCACGACCCCCTAATTGGGAAAGCCGCGTTAGGGCCGCATTAGACTTTCCCAATGACTATCTAATGAGACCAACCGCATTAGGCCCATATTAGAATAGCTTTATTAGGCTATCATTGGGAGGCACTAATGAAATCTCATGAGGAATACCTCATCAAGACACTGTATGGATTAAATTGTAAAAACTTTTATCTTGTTGAAAGCTCTCTTATGGCGACCTAACCTCTACACGCAAGCGTACGTCTGACACTGAGAGCCCCACTCCATTTAATTTAGGCGTGCGCTCGGCCATCCCCATTTGGGCCACGTATAGCAACTGTTAGGAATGCCCAACTTAGGCATGCATCATTCCTTCCGAATTAGGACCTAATGCGGTAACGAATTAGGCTTGCAGCATTTAAGTGTGCCTAATCGTTTCCGCATTAGGCCCACATTTGTCATGCATATACACTACCGTCCATAAGTCACCGGACACTTACTCGACGACAGTCAAACGGCGTCTTTTACTAGTCGGGTTTCGCGGATGCATTGTTGTTAAAAAACCGCACTTAAGGATTCAAAACAAGAAAAAATGGCTGCAGTAGGCAAAAACACATGAAGCTTGAAGTACTAAGATTGGGAAAAAGGGCTGTGGAGTGACGAGTCGAAATTTGAAATTTTTGGCACAAAACGACGAGTTTATGTGCGTAGAAGGGCAAATGAAAAATTGCTAACAGATTATATTGTTCCAACAGTGAAGCATTCATGCAGTACCGTCTGGAAAAAGATTAATGGGACAAAACTTTATATTTATGCAGGATAACGATCCTAAACACACTGTGAAAATTTGTAAAAACTTTTTAAAGGACTTAGAAAACAATAATGAATTACAGATGATGACATTGCCTCCACAATCGCCCGATCTCAACCCGATTGAGAAATTATGGGATGAATTTGGACAGAAGGGTAAGGAAAACGTGCCCAACATCAAAAAAAGATCTATGGAAGAAGTTAGAAGACGCTTGGAAAGAAATTACTCGAGAAATATTTAAACAATTAACCAAAAGAATACCACTATTAGTTCAAGCGCTCATATCCGCACGAGGCGGATATATCGACGGAAAGAGGTTATAGGATTAGTTATATACCTTTCGTAAGATTTTTAACATATAATTTGTAGGATATACGTATTCTTGACATTATATACATACAATAAACACCAATTTTATTTCATAATATAGGTCACTTCCTTGTATAAAATTGCCTACAACTCAATTTGTCTAACTGTCCGGTGACTTATGGATAGTAGTGTACCTATGCCCTATTTGACCTTGTTTTCGAATTACATATAGCGAGTTTTATGTTGGAATAATTCTATCAAATGATAAAAGTAGTTGTATTGATTCTATCTACTCATTTACAAACAGAACTCAATATCTGACGTTGAATCTTGTATTCTATAATAGTTCTGTAAACACTTCCTTTTAGTATCTCACCTATAAGTCATTAGAGCGTCAGATTATTTAAATATGCCGTGTGTGGAAATGGAAAGTTTCTCTAATGAACAAATGGCAGATATGCATCTCATGTATGGGCTTACCCAGTGTAATATTACTTTGGGGAATGGAGAGAATAAGACAGCCAGTGATAAAATGTCTCTAGACTTGTGTTCAGATGCAAGGAGGTCATTTTGAACACCTCTTGTGAAGATATGCAGGTACAGTGTATTAAAGAAGAAACTCGCTGTAACTCGAAAAAAGACCAATGTACAGAATTCAGCACCAAAACGGTTCTCCGATGCTACGAGACACCCTGCATATGAAAATTTTTATACGTTGTATAAAAATTGTACAAATAAACTTGTGTATCGTAATTCAATCGCACTATTCTTCTTTTATTTCTTCCATCTTTCTCGTTTGTCCAAAAAAACATCTAATACTCACATCCGTCGATATACTTTTGCTTATAACGCTCTACTGCCTTAACACATTGACTACCACGCCAGATTTACATGTTTTGCTCAGGGAGCCATAAGAAATTTTTAGTTGACGATATTCATTTTATTCTAATTATTCTAAACATTTGAGGCCTTCCAGTCACTGATGACCACCGTGGCCCCTTCAGGAAAACCGTTTTCGGTCACAGGTGATCAACGTGATAGTCAACGTGTTAAAAGATACCTTGCGAACGCGACGATCCGAAGTAAACGCTTATAGAGGAGGCGCACTTTTACGCCATAATACATTGTGAAGTTTGAAATTCTATTTTCTCTCGTGACCTGAAGGAATACTTTTACCCATAGCACTGCTTAGAAATTATGGAAAAATTTTCATTCAGTGCTAAGTTATTGCCAAAAATAAATAATTTTAACAAAGATTGTTTCGACGTCTACTAAAAGGAAAGTGACTTATTATACTGTGAAGAGTGAATATAGACAATCCAACAGCGAAAGTAAATACGAGTCAACAGACATTAGTAACGAAGGTGAAAACTTTCTCAGTTTGTGCAGAAAAAGCAAGTTTTGTCAGATCCCGAAATGAAAGTGACTAGGAGACTGAAATGTCTATTAACGGAATTGTCTGCAGAATACAGCAAGAAGGCTCAATGTCTGGAAGATTACCACAGCACAACATTATCAAAGAAATGGCAGGACCAATTTTCATTGATAATCGATGAAATTATAAAACATATACCTAAGAACTTACACTGAAGCAGAGGTATTATACAAGTTCTGGATAACGATTGAACTCTGTCCAATGTACGAAGTGAAAAATTTGAAACTTTCATATTTATGGTAAAAACAACGGGGCCGTGCAGCTTTTTCAAAATCGATGAGTGAAAATAAATTTACAGAAATTCTTCGGTTCATTTGTTTCGATAAGAGCCGTGAAAGAAACAAGCGGTTGCAAACAGATAGCTCTCCATGAAGTTTCAGAAGTATGGAATAAATATTAGGTTGGTCCATAAGTTCGTGCGGTTTTATTTCGTGTTGAATAAAATTCATAACATCTGCCTATCGGCTATGTGATACACATGATTCAATAGCTTTTCTTTTCTTCTTGTATAGTGTCGTGAATTTTTTGGTTCTATGCAAGTAATAAAAAGTTCTTTGTTCAAAAACAATAGAGTGTCAGGTTAACAAAGCTATGCATCTCCGATATATTTTACTTTATGAGTTTAATTGTGGTTCTAAAGTTGCTGAAGCTGCCCATAACATTTGTACCGTCTACAGAAAAAGTTATGTTACCAACAGAACAGAACAAAAGTAGGCAATTTTGTCATAAATGATCAGTCACGTTCGACCATATTAGTTCGATGAGGAGCGTTTGAAAGCTCTGCTCTGTAATGACAGTCAACTGGTGAATTAGTCGAGAAGATGCACTGCTCTCACCAAACAGTGCTCCGCCTGTTTAATAAGGCGAAAAAATAAAGTTTTATAAATCAGAAACTTTCTTAGTCTTTCTTAGATAGTTGATGGACAATTATTTCCAACCAAAGCTAGATGTAAATTTACATACATAGTACACACCAAACGAACCCCATAAGTTTGGCATAAAATTCTGCTTGGCCTCGAATGTCAAAAGTAAATATGTTATAAACGGATTTCTCTATCTGGAAAAGATTGAAACGAGATTATCAATACCTTTGAGTGAATTTGTCGTTCTAACACTTATGGAACCATATACCGGATGTGGAAGCACGATAACAACAGATAATTTGTTTTACAAGTGTATCACTAGCGACAAAACTAATAGCTAAAAGAACGACTTTAGTTAGCATTAAAGAAAATAGGAGAGAATTACTTAAACCTGCAAAACTAAAGGACAATATGCTTCCCTCCTCTACAATTCTTTATAAGTCCGATAATTGTACTCTTACTATTTATAAAAGTAATCCAAACAAAAAAGGATTGTTTTTAAGTTCAAAGCATAAGTCGGCCACAATTAAAAGAGATGGTAAACATCTATCCGTAACTGTGGTATTTTATAATAACACGAAATTCGGCATAGATATGACTGATCAAATGGCTAGAAGATATACTGTGAAAGTTGAATCCTGAAGATGGCCGTTACAAGTATTTTATAAGATTTTAGATCTAGCCGTAATAAATTCCTAGATACCCATATAACAAAACAACAAGGGGAAATATGTCCAGAAAAGACTTTTTATTTCAGTTAGCTGATGAATTTGTCAGTGAATATAAAGATATAACAGGACAATCTTCAACGGAAGCAAAGGAATTAATGCTTTCGGATGCACTATCAAATACCCAGCGAATATTACACTCCAACGTAAACGATATTAAATAGAATATTGCACAAATAATAAAACGAAGAATATTTATGGTACATGTAATAAACGTGTTTATGGTAAATGTACTGCTAAGAAGATTTTTAATTGTGAAAAGTATGTTCAATAACATATATATAAAACCACTTTTTTCTCAATGAAGAAAATTTTGTATATGATTATTTTAGAGAATATTAAATTTATTTTCAATATTCGTTAAATAAAACAAACAAATATATACAAATGCACATTTCTTTTTGCTTAAATGACTTGTTCTTTTGAAAAACAAGTCATTTTGACCCTCCCGGTAGAAATAAGGTACATACATATGTATATGTAACTCGTCGGTAGTTGTAGTGTTAAATTAGTAAGCGTACATATTGCTTGGTTCCGTTCGAATATCACATGCTTTATTTTACTTTCCTATTATTATGTAATCAGTGATAAATATTTTCTACATTCCAGTAAACAGGCTGTATTCGATGGAAAGAAACCTATTAGAGGAGGCATTCCATTTGTTTTCCGTAAGTACACGTGACAAAACAGAACAATTTAGTAAAATATTCACTTGAACATTTTAATAGAAAACATAGATATAGAGGTACGCTGACACGATGCGAGTACACTCGGACCAGATGATATCGTATATTATTACTCTTTTCATATTTTTTGTTATTAGCTTCATTTTAATGAAATTTTATTGCTTATGTGCAACTCACACAGCAAAAGTTGAAAGATGACAGAGTAATTCTTGCGAGAACATTTATATACCGAATATAGAAGCATCATTTGTTTATATTGTACGGGCTACATGCGAGTACAGTAATGTCTCTACAATTGGCCACTAGTTTGGATTCTACAATTGACAACATAGATGGTCCTACGCCTAGGTTGCGTCATTGCTGCGCCTATGTTGTCTCGCTCGCAGTCAGTCAAGCGTGTAACGCTACAGCACTCAGTTTCTTTTACGAGATTTCCCGGCTCCACAGTTCATAACAAAATAATATAACTTTTTTAATTTTACATTTTTTTGTCTGAAATTTTTTTTAACATGTTGGTGAAATTTTTCTGATGAAAATGAGATCATGATATAATTTGAACAACATTTACTTATTAATACTTATTGAGTGATTAATTTCATTTCATAATATATCACTTTGGATGAATTGCTAAAAAAATACATTAAATATCTGTACACACGATTCTACAATTGAGCACCAAATGATAGTCCGATTCTACAATTGACCACCAAACGGTGACTCTCAAAATAAAATAAATATCGTCAACTAAAATTTTTGTACGTCATAGCCAACTAGACATTATTTTAAATTGAAAAAAAAATTATAAAGCATAATAATATAATCTTATGCTTAAAATAATGAAAATTTTCTTATTGCCGCCTGAGAGCAACCTGTAAATCTGGCGTGACAGTGAACGTGTTAATAAGTAAATGTTGTTCAAATTATATCGTATTTGATGTCATTTTCATCAGAAAAATCTCATCAATATTGTTACGTCGTAACAAAGGACGAATACCATCATGCATCGCACTTGTAGTTTTCCTAGAAAATAATAATTCTCACCACTTAAATTCCTGCTCGTACATGCTCGATGAATATACATCTGCGTTGCAGATGTAAGTCCATCGACGTTCCAAAGGGGATATCGGGAACCAAGAATGCGTAAAATAAACCTTTTCAATGGCCTACTTCCAATCGTGGATGTAGGTCCCATCTATGTCACCAGGATGCGCCGTCGGAGTTCTTACGCAAGGTACGTAAACCTTGACAACGACTTCGACGGTCGTAACACGGCGCGAAAATAATAGAAGTCCCTTTTGAAGCGTCGAACGGTCAAGTCTCGGCACTTGTGGCATGGCGCCGTTAGGGCTAAACTCTCGAGAAAACTCGAGAAAAGTATCGAGAAAACCGAGGACTTCGCGTTAGTCACGGAAGTGCATGGTGGTACGCGTGCCCCTTCCCTCGTTTCTACCACTGATGAGGTCGAGACAAAGTCGACCAATTAGGTCAAACTTTGTGCTTCACCCCCATCGGAGCCTCGAAGCGTAGAGAGGGAAATCGCGCTTCCCTCAGGAGGAATCGTCCTCCGAAAAGACAGAACATTTTTAACTCTCGCCGTAAAAAGAACAATTTCAAAAATCGTAGTATATAGACCAAAGTCAAAACTCGTACAATCTGGCGTGACAGTTAACGTGTTAATAAGTAAATGTTGTTCAAATTATATCGTATTTGACCTCATTTTCATCAGAAAAATCTTATCAATATGTTAAGAAAACTTTCAGGATAAAAAAACGTAAAATTAAAAAAGTTGGTGTTTAAATCGCTTGGTTGCCTCGACTCTCGTTTCATCCTTATCTTTTATTCGCTGTCCTTGTCTTCGTTCGGCAAACTACAAAGACGGGCGCGAGGCTCGAAAACGTAGTCCTTGATTCTACAATAGGCCTGTTTAAGTTCCTTGCTGGTGGTCAATTGTAGAGACATTATTGTATCTCTTTTTACGTTGTGTGCTCGCACTGTGTAATGGTACCTTAAGAGCCGTTATGTACCATCGACCAGTCGCCGGAAGACCAAGAACCAGGCAACCAAACTCGACGACCAAAAACAGCAACTCGAAAGTTGTCAGTGTCGTTGTATAAATTTTTCTGAATTGAATCTCATCATTACGCGTGGTCTGCAAGAAAGTTGCCCATCGTGTGAACGCGTGCATTTGATTCAATGCACTTCATCTGTCTCCGCGACTAGCGAGTTGCCTGTACGTCGCTCGTGTTTTCGTGGTCGTGGCAACCAATGAGTCGCCAGCGACTGGACGACATGACACTGCGTAACGGTTCAAAGCGTTATGAACGAGTTTACACCTCTAACACATTCGTTTCATCTGATAAAATAATCAAACTTTCATTTTAAACTTCATTTTTGTACGATATAATACCCAATACATTTGAATTCATGCGTAAATAAGTCATGAAGAGCTACATATATTGTGATGCCTAAGGCTGTGGTCATAGTGAATATGTATTCGGACGAACTGGCTTTCTGACGAATCCAATACGTCAAAACAATCAAATATGTATACAGATTGTTATTACTGTATGCATTACAGTTTTCAGAAGTTTCATTTGTCAAAACGTCAATTCATCCGAATACGCATGCACTACATATAACCACAGCCTAAAAAGTATTCAAAACTTAGACATGCCAAAAGTACCAGAATATTCCTCTCATGCAAGATTGATTCATTAAATGTACTTAGTGCCAAAAGTATTAATAAAGTAAAGCTAACAAAGCAAGCACAAATTAAAATGATAAACATTTGTGGCAAGACGTTCTTTTTTTTAGAAGAAATACTTTGTTACGTTGTTTTAAGGGATTACATACACTTTGAGCGGTTGAAAAATAAGGAGAATTCAAACATTTCTTTTATATATAAAATTACATTTCATGAAAAAAGCAATATATACATCTTATTGTATGGTATTTAAGTAGTATTTTCTGAAAATTTGAACTAAATATCTGAAGACGGAAAGATATGGCAGCCATTTTCCCAAAGCCATTTCACCAAAACCAGATATACACGTATGTATCTCGGTGGGGTTTAATCTCAAATTGTTTTAATTTTACACTACACTAAACAAAAAGCATTTGTCGATGCCAATTTTGAAAAAATCAAGTTTTGTAAAACTGGCAGCTGTTTGAACTCAATATGTAATTTCCAACCTAAATTTTTAAATTTTTGTTAATAAAAGAAAGAAAAATGCACGAATCAAAAATTCGTTTCGTCAAGTAGTAGATAATAGTCTTTAGAATATTATTGCAAAATTTTATCCAAATGGGTCCAGTAGTCCCAAAGTTTCAATTGTCTGTTACCACTAGAAACCGATCGAAACTCTAAGTTACTTTTTTTTATTGATTTAGAATGTATCATCGATGCTTGGACTATAAAATTCTCCTTCCTTTGAAGTAGAAGCCTCTTAATTATCTTTTTTCTTTCCTTTGCTTGACATTCGTCCTTCCTTCAAAGACTTCGCGTGTTCGACGAGACTCAACCGTCGAGTCTCTTCTTTGTCGACTCAATGACAAGCATTCATTCCACACTGTATTTGCATTACTTGTTTGCGGCGATCTCAAAAATAGTAGAACCGGGGTAAATTTCTTTAAGTGATATCTTCCAAATTAAATTATTTACACTTCCATTCTTATTTTGGATGTACGCACCCACACAACACTCCAATAGGGTTTCAGCATTTAGATCCTTATAAACAGGTTTAATTGCTTCAAGGACATTCGGTGGTAGCGTTTTATAATTGTGCTGGTACATGTGCGTCTGAGAGGTACAGTTAGTTGCCCGATCGCGATCGCTCCAACTTTCGGAGCTATAAATCCTGTAGTTTTACGAATTTTGAAATAAAATTTCGGGAGAGTACTCTAAAAGTATCGTACTAATAGAATATACAATTTTTGAAAAATCGATTTTTTTTTACTTTATCAAAGGTACTACGTAACCCCTTAAGCAACCATTACGTTCGCATTATACATATACAAAACACTCAGTCATTTTCGAATACTCAGTAGTTTATACGTTCAAATTCATTTTCTCTGCATGTTAAGAATATGTGACCACATGGTAGATAGATTATAGGTCATACAGTACGTATGTCCGGAAAACTACGAATGATACAAAAAACTGTTTCAGACGAAAGTTGTAGGGTATAGAGGGCGACATATTGTAGTATCTTTACCGTCAAGGGTTTTTCAAATAGTTTGTAATAATAATGCTGTTCGACAATGACAATTGACGAAATGTGATAAGTGAATATAATAATAATTTGACGGAACTCGCAACACTAAAACAAGTCTTATGCAACTCTAACAACTGTGAAACGACTCTTACAACTCTTAAACAACTCATACAGCACAGACCTCCATGTGCACAAGGTGTCCAATTGTAATTTGTAAATGCGAATTACTCGTAAACTACCCGCTGTATACAAAAATGGTTCAGAGAGGAATTGAATGGTTTCGATGGAGACATAATTTGGTGTAATTAGTTTTTCTGTAGATGGACGCGTAGAGGTCATGTGAAGGTGACGTACATTTTCCGTAATGGAATCATATAATATTTAACGCATTAGTCAACGCAGCTCTTTATTTCTTACAAAAAAAAAAGTATTAAAGTACCTATTTATGTCGAGAAACCATTACTTTAGGAGATATTTTTGTCTCAGTATTGCAAAGTGGTACTAGTAGACCTAGGTACACCTACATTTTTTGAAATCTATCGATGGTTTAACACAGCTTATCTAGAGAGATCTTCTAGCCAGGTCCTCTTGAGCCTTCTTTCAACGTGCTGGAATGATAATTCGATGACTAGATGTTTTTGGTGGTTTAAGTTTCGATTTCTGTATTTTGTAGCATATAATTTGACTACGTCGTTGATCAGAGGTACTCGTAGATTGTTGTGTAAAGTTTGTTTGGAGACATATCATGGTATATTTGTTAGTAGTCGG